TTCCCCAGACAGCATGCTTTAAGATGAGTGGACTTCAACTCCCAGAAGCCCGCATTTAGTGTACTTTAAGATGAGTGGACTTCAACTCCCAGTACTCCCTAGTCAGTGTGCTTTAAGATGGGTGGACAAACTCCCAGAATGTCCCAAGCAGCATACTTTAAGATAGGTGGACTTCAACTCCCAGAAATCCCCAGACAGATAGGTGGACTTCAAATCCCAGAGCTCCCCAGACAGCATGCTTTAAGATGAGTGGACTTCAGCTCCCTGAAGTCCCCATCTAGGATATTTTAAGATAAGTGGACTTCTATTCCCCAGACAAATAGGTGGACTTCAGCTCCCAGAATTCCCCATCTAGGGTATTTTAAGATGAGTGGACTTCAATTCCCAGAATTCCCCAGCTGTGTGATTTAAGATGAATGGACTTCAACTCCCAGAATTCAACGGTCATAATCAGTATGAAAAATGGTCATGTCATTTTTTTTCAGTGCCGAATGGCCCCTAAACAAACGGCTTTATAAGTCAAGGACCCGTACTTACTAGCCAACCGGAGATCGATGGAGCCATTGAGAATTTCTTTGGGCCGCAGTAGAATCACAACATTGTACTGGCCGGCATCGCTGTGCTTCAGCCCAGTAATCTGGATAGATCCATTATGGAAACCAAATTCTCTGTTGGTAAATTGAACCCCGTTGCGCTGAGGGCGATAGTTTCCGGGGAAGAAGCTGAAGATCCTTGAAGACCCCTGAGAAGCCAACCCTCGGAACCAGCTGACTTCACGGATGTCACCCTGCACTCTTTCCACAGAGAAAGTGACGTTCTGACCTTCGGCGGGATTCTCTGGGATGGACACTATATTGATCCTGCTTGCTTGGACCAGAATAATCCACAGGGCTAGGAAAAAGGCTGTCAGGAGAACAGAGAAATAATTGCATGGGGTGTCCCACAGAGGGCTGGACTAGAAGACCTCCAACAAACCACTCCCGTTCAAATCATCAGTCTCTAGCTGCATAATCTCAGAGTTTAAAAAAAATGATTTATTAGGAGTGACCATGTCGGCATTACCTGGGTGCAGCCGATACTAAGACACATCATTCATTTCCCTCTTGCCCCTGGTCTTCCCCCCACCCCCTGGATGTATATTCTCCACTGGGACACGTCCATAGTCAAGAGTCATACTCTCCAGTAATAATCTTGCGCATCAACAGCTTTAGCTGCCTAGCAATTATCTGAAGCATTTAAGGAATGCACTACTTTCTCCCACTCCCTTTCTGCTGGCAACTAAAAAGACCAAAGAAGTATTTTTTTTTAGTTGACACCAAGGTCCCTTCCACCCTCTCTTATTCTGGTTATTATCTCTTTTATAAGAAATACAGTTGGACACCTAGAAAGGAATCCGACATGGTCTCTGTCTTGAAATAAACAAAATGTCCCCATCAAGATTTCTCATCAACAAAGATGATTCGGGGACTTGAGGCTAAAACATATAAAGCATGGTTACCGGAATTGCGTATGTCTAGTTTAATGAAAAGAAAGACCACAAGTGACATGATAGCAGTGTTCCAATATCTCAGGGGCTGCCCCAAAGAAGAGGGAGTCAAGCTATTCTCCAAAACTGCTGAAGGCAGGACAAGAAGCAACGGGTGGAAACTAATCAAGGAGAGAAGCAACTCAGAACTAAGGAGGAATTTCCTGACAATAAGAACAATTAACCAGTGGAACAACTTGCCTCTAGAAGCTGTGAATGCTCCAACACTGGAAGTTTTTAAGACGAGACTGGACAACTATTGGTCTGAAATGCTATAGGGTTTCCTGCCTAGGCAGGGGGTTGGACTAGGTCCCTTCTAACTCTATTTATTCTACTCTACTTATATTCTATTCCATTCCATTCCAACTATTCTATTCTATTCTATTCTATTCTATTCTATTCTATTCTATGCTATGCTATGCTATGCTATGCTATGCTATTCTATTCTATTCTATTCTATTCTATTCTATTCTATTCTATTCT